TCCTTTCAAATGAAGGGTGCACAGGGTGCAGTAACTCTAAGGAAAATGGCAAACCCAGCTCATGTAGTTTTATGACCCACAGGTTAAGACTATTAGGACTGATTGATTTATCATCTAAGAATATTATGAAAAGATTAGTTTATCCACAATGGAGAGATTATATTTGGAAATATATTGTCAAGTTAAATTATCAACTGACTTACAATATATCTCAGTAAAAATCTGTCATAAGCTGATTACCTACTAGCTTCTGCTAGATAAAACAACTTTCTACTATGGCTTTCCTCTGTTTTTCTGGCAAAAGAGACAACAAAATTTCACAGCATTTCCTCATTAGTTTTTTGTTAGCCGCACAATGGATGTTGGGCCCAAGTTGATGATAATTAAATCAACGTTGCATGACACAACTTAATCAAAACTGAGCCAAACTGAAAGTGAATTTGGCTGGCAAAAATAAGATAAAGATACGAAGAAGAAGACCATAAATGAGGTCAACGAACACGGTCCATGTTGTCAACCGTACAACTGTAGGCAGAACCCATTAATGTTTCTTTCGAGCTTTGAATAGTTTCCCCAAAATAGAAAAAAAAAAAACAAAACAAAGACTAAGCTTTGTATCTTTTCTGTTTGTTTGCTGCTTTTATCAGCCCATTTACGTGCCAAATCAGCGGGTGAAAGTGTTGCAAAATGAGCGAAACGAGCAAGCGAAATTGCTCTGGGGTGAAAATTGTTTTTCCTCGCTGCACAAGGAAGGAAAATTTGCATTGAAGAAATGCACCCAGAGCAGACGCCTCCAGTTGAATCGGAATTTTCCCACACTTTGCAGGTGGACGTGTCTGAACTTTGATTAAAGAGTCCGCGTTTCCACAGAGTTTTCCACCAATCTCAAGTCGGGTGGTAATAAATGTGTAACACTCTGTAATGGCTGGCGTGGTAGCATGAAAACCGATCTCTGAGTCATGCACGATTAGTCAGAAGAATTTTTTGGGACAAGTGAACGGCCTTTGAGTCATTCAAAATGCAAGAGTTTTCCATTTGCCGCACTGCCAGTGGAAAAACTAAGCGTGTTCGCATTTAATGAGTGTCACTTTTATCGATCGCTGTGGCACCTGTTTCCGTTGCATAATTTCGTTGTCCAGGCCACCAAAAACACACGAGCTCCTTCCACATTCCACATTTGTTCCTTGGGTTACAAAAATATTTACACATTTATGTTAGTAAACGAACCCATGCGCTAGTTCTAATGAAGTTGCGAGGGAGTGTGGCAGGTGTCTGCTGCAAGATCTTACGGGCCATTTGTAACCCAATAGACCCAGTTTACACTTTAATGAGGGATCTGTAGATACAACAAATAACTTGGCTGCTAATGAGTAAGGGGAACTTGAAAATGGCCTGGAAAATTATGCATAATAAATGTTTTAATTGGGTTATAAATTTGTGGCTGCCTGTAATGGTCATTATAAGATAAGATAAAGTTAATATTAAATGTGATCTTTGTATATGAATAGTGAGATGTATATTTTTTATGTATTTCCTTAAATATATTTTAGACATTTTGTAAATTATATTAAATGACCCGATCAGCACTTTCCTCAAACAAAACGCCAATCTTCAAAGAAGCCTTGACTAATAGAACTACAATGGTTTGGCCCATAAATCTCGCTACCATATCACAAGATCTGTTCCCAGAAGTGCATTTCAAGTACATCAGAGAGGGCACACCTCGTAATTTTCGTTAGTTTTTGCACAGCTAACCATCCGCAACTAATGCGGCAGAAGGAGAGATAAACTGCGACTGGATCCTAAGGATCGCCCAGAGACGGACGGAAGGCCCGGCGTGTGCGGTTGGCCAGGCTGTTTATTGTTGGGAAATCATAAAAGATCATAAATAAATAGCAGAGCACAGAAGAAGATTTACATTTGCCAGGGCCTGTCGAGGGTCGGTCACACTTTAATTGCTAGGAGATAAAGCGAGTCTAAGCGGATCTCTTGGGCTGGGAAACGTACACAGAGTGCGGTCCATTCGGGTCCAGTGATTCATGCTGATCATGTTGTCTCTTGTTCTCTCTCGTTTTATCTCAGTATTTTCCTATATGGCCATCTCCCTTCGGGTAATTGATACCCGAGGTGTTGATTTGTAAAACAAAAAACTGTTTGCTTATAAACAAAAGGCCTTGTTATGTGCACGAGCAGCAGTAGTACGAAACAACAACTGAATTTTCGGGAATTTAGATAAGAAGCGAAAATGTTTTCATTCGAAACTGGGACCAGATAGAGATGGGTCACACCCATTGGCGGTCCGGGAACCCAGCGACCCCATCCAAAATGCAAATCAATGAACCATTAGGGAAACTGTTTTAGAATTGAGTTTTCCCTACTGAACCTTTGATGTGGGTCCCCACCATCTCAATGTCTGTCTGACTGATTATGGGTTTTCAGTAAGTAACATACCCGACTGTTTCACTACCAGCCTCGCTCTTGATAAGACAAACTGACTTATCAACGAGCGGCCACAAATATTTGATATGCCTGTTATGATTTCTTGTACAAACGCTGAATGTTTATGCAAGATTAATGGTCAGGCGCACGCCTTCCTTCCTCGTAAAAGAGCCCTCATCCCCTTCCGAAAGTTGAGTTTGTATAAAAATTACCTCACCGCCGACCTTTCTCTGATCTTGAACTATTAATTAGGCAAATTCCAGTTTGATTTGTGGGCTGGCTAAGCAGCGGATGTAACTAAGCTGAGAAAAAATGTTTGGGAGTGGGAATTACGTTTGGTTTATGGGTAAATCTTGAAAATGTTTAAACTATAAATATTTATTAGATAAGAATTGGGCTTATAAAAGGCCAATGAAGATAGTCAGATGCCGATTATTAAAGTTTAAGGTGAACATTCTGTGTGGTAATAAGATAAATTCTTTGAAAAACAAAAAAGTTACATTATGTACCTAAAAAGAGATAAACAAAATGAAATCTTTGTAGAAATTGTAAAAAAATGTTACAAAGGAATATAAATTCTTTAAGATACATAGCACATTTGTCCGGATATCTGCACACAGCAACTGACATATTGTCAAACATAGGGCATGGAGGATCCTTTTGCTACGAGCCTGATCCTCTTTTGTGCGACACCTTTGGGAAACTGTCAATAAGCGAGGGCATTGTTCGACCACAGCCAAATGCAGCTGCCTTTCGCCATCGAACTGCGAATCATTTCCTCGGCCCGAGAACAAAGCCAGGGAACAGGATCCGGCAAGGACATGTGGCAGCCAGAGGACAGCTTATTGGCCAGGCAGAGAAATCACAAATCGAACGAGAGCATCTGCATCTGTCATGGCCGACATGTGCCAGCAAGATGCGAATGATTTTTTGGCGGTAAAATTGCCATTAACAGAAGGATTTTGGTAATGAAATGGGCGAAATAAGGGATGGCAAGACTAATTACTTTGCATGTCAGCTATTTGAAAGCATTAAAAGTCCAAATGATTTAGAAAAAGGTTTCATTTGTTTTTCGTGACTTACCCATTCTCTGAATCTTCTGAAGATCTGCCCAGCTGTAACTGAAGCTAAAGCTGAATGAACTCATTTCCCATTGCTGGCTCATGCTGGCTCAGCTTCTAAGCGGCTTTCTGACTTTCTGGCCATTATCAGAGCGAAGAGAGAGCCAGGTCTTCGCTCTTTCTCCGCCAGCTCAGCTCTCTCCTCTTGGCCAGAAAAAGAGGCAGCAACATCAACGGCAGCAGCTTTTCTTGGTTTTATGGCTCTTTTTTCGGCAACATGCTCACTCAACCTTGGCAAGGCCGTTGTTGCCGGTTTTTATGCTGCCTGTGTGCGTGTTAGTTCGTGTCTGTGAGTGGGCCCCTGTGGCTGTGTGTTTTTGCGTGGGTTTTCTGTGGTATGCGGCCAACGGAAGTCGGGAATGGGTCATAATCGACATCCCTGTTCCTCTGGCCCCTCGACTCCTCGATTACACGATCCTTCTCCCCCTTTTTTTCACTTTTTCACTCCTGGCCAACAGATATTGAGGCCCTTTGTATAATTGCACTTGGCAATGGCTTGTTGGCATCATTAGAGCCGAGTTTGGGTAAATATAGCAATTACAGTATCCGCAAAATGTCCTAATGCCAAATTGACCGGAAAGCACATAGAAAATAGAAAATTACAAGAGAAATCGAGCCTAGAACTTAAAAGATAAGGATATGGTGTAAAATTTTGGGAAATGGATTGGAAAGAGCAGAAGCTCATAAGTTTTCTTCCTTCTCCTTTATGTACTTTAAAATTGAGATATTAAATAAATCTTATTATTAAAATATATAAGATGATTTTTAATATAAAATGAAATTAAATTTGAGTTTATTTTAATGATCATTTCGAAATATCGCAATGCAGTTTCGAAGAGAGTTTCAGCATTTTACTCAATCATCCACTGCTTGGCCCATTTCAACCACCGCACAGTGGTAAGAATTGCCAGTACAGCTGCAGTATGGATTTGTTTAATTAAGGGTTTTGCTGTTGTTTTTGATAAACTATAATAGCCAAAATCTAATAAAAATATTTTATATTAGCTTATGAATAACTAATTTTATTATACATGTTTTTGAATAAAATTTATATCAAAAATCCAGTATTTTATTGTTATCAAAAATTGTTTCACAAAACAAAATCATTTGAAAAAACATTAACCGCCATGTATGTATGAGACTAAAAAGTTAAAAATAAAAATTAAATTCAATTTGTGATTTTTAACCACAAAATGCTACTAATGCCCACTGTGCAACCCGTTGAACAAAACAACTCTCTCTCTCTGTTTTTGGGAGAGTGTGTTTGCACTCTCCCCGAAAAACAAACGCTCTCTCGCTCTAAAGTGCATTGCCAGAGCAGATCGCAGCTTGCTGTCCCGCTTGCACAACCCCTACACCACATTGGTGAGCATGAATTTGTGCCTGTAGCGTAAGAGAGCGAGAGTTTCAGAGCGGCTTGGACGTAGCTGCCGTCTCTGAGTCACTTCAATTGCTTTCGAGAAGTCGACGCAAACGGTTCGTATTCGTGAAGTTCGCATCTGAAACAAAAACAAAAAGATAAACGATGCGCGTGCGCCGTGTGAATTTCGCAAAGTTTTGAAAATAGTCAAGATCTGTGTGATGTGCCTATAAACAGTGCAGTTGCCAAAGCAGAAAACAAGACAAGACCCCATAAAACTTGCCCATTGAAACACTTTTGGATTAGTTTCACGTCAAGCAAATAAACAAAAACAAACGCAAACAATATGGTTCGCAGTTTGGCCCAGTGGACGAAGACGCTGAGCTTCCCCTCGCGTCTCTCGCCAAATCGCAATTCCAAGGATTGCTCCACATTGGCAGGTCCTGTACCGCCACCCACGCCGCCCAGGAATAAGACGACCTCGGGCAGCGGAAATTGCGCTACCTCGCGCTCATCTTCCTCGACAGTGTCCTCGTCACACTCGTCGTCGCACAGTTCACCCACTCCCGGGAACAACAACAACATGCCCATCACGGAACTGGAACAGATTGTAAGTTTACCAAAAAAACAGAGTAAAACTCTAGGGATTATTTCGATAATTAGTGTATATAATTCTTATAGGAATACAAAATATTACTTTTACCAAATGAAAACTGATAACTGATAATAATTTATCAGAAAGATAATTTCTTATAAGGTCTAAAAATTCTGTGAAATAAGTTAAAGAATGATAATATATGTATACGAAACGAGGCTATCATCGAGGTGAGAGACACAGCAGCAGGGATCGTATCCGTGCCCCTGTGGATGGGACTTCCTGTTTTGGCGAGCCAGCTGTGCAAACATTTAACAACTAAAGCCCGCATATAATTTCCATGGCAATAAAAGCCTTGCCAAGTTCCCTTCCACGAGTGCATTCCATTTCAGATAAAGCTCATTGACCCAATTGAATGGGGCCCTAGACCAGGGGCCAGATACTAGGGCTTAGCCGGCACTTATCATTATCAATCAATCAGTTTCGTAAAACAAATAGCCGTATGTAGAACGTGGGGACGTTCACTGATAGCGGATTTCCACACTCGATAAGCGGCCTGACAACTATCAAAACGAAAAGCCTATAAATTTATGGTTTTCCCGCATCAAATCGGTTGCAATTAAGCCCCCGCCGTTTGACGGCCAAGTTGAGAGCAATTTGCCATAGCTGGGCGACAGATTGCCGGGTCTCAATTCAAACACATGTCGGGAAAATAGGAGTACAACAAAAAAAGGCGAACAAAATGGAAATAAAAAATCCGAAAAGCAAACAGGATGTAGATGCGCTTGAACTGATGAGGATGGGAATGTCTTTAGGGATACAGACAGGCCCGGTCATGGGTGACAACATATGGCTACAACGTGGCCCGATTTCCAGACAAGGAAAGCAGAGCTAGTTTGAATGGGGAAAAAGGTTTATTGAGAGGCATAAACAATTGCAGTTTTGAGGAAAAGGATTTACTTAGAATTTTAATCACAAATGTGGGAAATTTAACTCTTAAAATTATAAAATAAATATTTATTTGAAGTTTGTTAAATCAAAACCAATGAAAAGAAATGAATGAAATTGTATAAATCGAATATAACCAGTATCAATTAACATTTTCCACTTCGGAGTTCAAATTTCCCACCGACTAAGCCCATTTCAATGCGGATTCGAGTGGGCAATGCAATCAGAATTCCCGTAGTTCGATTTCGCTGGCATTTTTTTCGCAATCCGCTTTTGACATTCTCCCTGGTCAGTGGATTCCGCAGACGAGAGCTGCATTCATTTACAGACCCAGACCTACTGCGAACCACACCCACGTAGCACGACGGAGTTGGTTAAAAAAAAACATTAATAACGAAAAGCTAAGACGACGGCACGAGCATGCCACAGTTTTCGTCGGCGGCAGGGAAATGGAAAATCGTGACCAGCGGCGACGAGGCGCCGGCGACGCATCTGCGGAAAATGCCAAAGTTGAAGAGCACTTAAGATACGGTAGTCCAATCGAACCGTTAGGCGAAGGAAAAACTAAATGAGTGCCTGAGCTGGGGTTATGTAAGGCAGGTTCGCATTTTTGCCATTTGGCGAAAAACACAACAGAAACAAATCAGCAGCTCAAACAAAAACAAGTTTCTTGTTTTGGTTTTGGTTATGGTCTTAGACTAACGAATCGCTCGGAAAAGTTGCCCAACGGCTTTTCAGCTGCTCGATGCGGTGCAAAGTACAAACATCCTTGGCCAAAGGTAAACCAGTTAACCAGTTCCAGTTGCCAACTGCTGACGGGGGCGTCTGCCCTGTTTTACTGTTTACTTCTATCCCTGGACTGGCATTCCTGGAATTTTGCAATTATAGTAAAACCCGTTAAGTGGCGGAATGGGTGCTTCCGTCTGGCTGAACATTTCCCACCAATCCAGAATTGATTCGCTCTATTCCCGTTGCATTTCCCACACTGGGAAATCGATTAACATATGGCCAACAGATTAGTTTCATATGAGTTCTTAGCTTTATACTATCACTTTGGGCACTTGGGAAAATGGTTTTGATAGTATATAGAATTTAATTCTGAATACATTTCATATAAACACCATTGATCTTGACATGCTATTATCACATTGAAATTGAATACCATTTTTATAATGCCAGCCTGTAGAACGTGCTGAACCTTTATTTTCACAAACTTTTCGCTTTCGATTAGCAATCAATTAACATATTGCTGGTAATGACACATTTCGCTCTGGCTATGCCTGACTCAACGGATTTCTCTTATTCTCTGACTTCTGGGGACCTTGTCAATGCGAAATATTTTCGCTAATGGCAGCAAGAATTTTGCCCTAAAGTCTGACGACCCCAAAAAAAAAAAAAAGAAAACAAAAACGTTGGCTAACTGCATTTCCTGTCGTTTTTCCAGACAAGCAGCTGCTAACCAGACCAAAATAAAGGTCAGACCCGCATGAAAACAATGAGCCACAAATTGTGGCAGCTGCAACAAAGTTCACCTGCAGTAGTTTGGCAACAATGTTGGGTCTCTAATATATAATAAAGAAACTAGAACATCTGATCACTGGTGATCGGAGTCATAATTTATCCATTTCTCGGGGCAAACGCATGCAAATTCATCACCGTGATTAAGAGCGGCAAAAAGCAGCATTTAACATGGCTTTATTGGAAATATTGCGGTATTGCAGGTGCAGAGGGAGCAACAGAGCAACAAAGCAGCAGCAACATGGTGTTTTTACCTGTTTAGAAATCAGCTGCTCTGCTCCGCTTTGTCCCCTCTTTTTCCCAGGTGAAAACCAGTTTCTGTCTTTGGCCATGTTTTGTTTTCATTTCTTTTTTTTGTGTTTTTTGTGTTTTGTATTTTGTATTTTGCAGCTGTCTGGCTCTCGCATACATCCATTGTGATGTTGCTGCCGCTCTTATGGCTATTGCTGAAATTACATACTGGCCGGGCATTTTGTGAAATTGACAAAACTGCGCATCAGCTGTTTTGATCGGTTTCCTTTATTACTAGCCCGTTTCGCTTACAAATTCGCCATCGATGCACTTTTAAATCCGGCATCGATGCATTTTATTAGGTCACCAAAGCAACGACCAGCAATATACTCATAACATTAGCAACCCGTGCGACTGTGGGAAGTTTTAGCCTTAGTCAAACACAAACCCAACCCCCTCGAGAAAAAAGGTGAAAAAAACCAATCTAATTAGTGTACCAGCTGCGGGTAAATATCAAAAACATTTAGCACAGTTTTCATAGAGCTTATAATGTTGATACTGTTGCTCCATATGAATGCTGAGAATTTCTTAGGCAAACACAGCCCGTCGAGTCTCTAAATATAAAAAGCTAATGCCAATGCTCACGTACCAAATAAAAAGCATGCCAGGGGCGTTCTAGTAGAGGGGGTATTTATGCATCTACGCAGACCCATGCCAAGTTCCCCCTACTTCGGATCCCTTTGTGCATTACACAAATGAACGTCAACATATTTTGGTTGGGAATATTTTGTGTTAACTGAACAAACGGAAGTTCTACCAGCGGGGAACTGAATGGTTTGGTGGGGGGTTTACCAATAATAATGGAAGGTGCTAAGTCCCCTTGCCCAAGAATTTGATGATCTTTTGGTTAGCAGGCCGAGAGATCGTGCTCCAGCTGAATAATAGAACATTCTGGGAATATAAAGACCTTATTTAGATTTGGTTCAAAATGCTTTCTTCAGCATTTGCTTATCATAAATATGAAATAACCAAAAGTTACAGCTAATCAACTTGTGGGAAAATGTAGTAATCTTTATAGACTTTGTTATATTATAATAGAGAGACTTCTTAAATAGACTCTGCCCGCATAACATCAAAACTCATTTGGATAATCAGGCAAACAAATCACTTGCTCCCAACAGACTGCAACCCTTTAAATTAAAGTGCCTCCCAATCAATTTGTCTATTAATAAAGCCCCAAGAGTATCAGATCTTCCAGAAACATGGTCGAACCCAAAGTTTTTGGACACCCCAAACTTTCAGCAGAAGCATAAACAATGCCTTGGCAATGGGATGTTGTCTGATTGAAGCCAGGCCAGAGATACCATAAACATAAAACAAACTTATTCGTCTATGAGCGCCTTGAACTTTAAGGCATAGGAATTGGATGGGGTAATTCCAAGTAGGAGGCACATGTCTTACAGGGAATCGAATGAATTCGATGTCTAAAATTATAAATTTTTTTTCCTGCCTATTCCTAACTTAATTTTTATGATCTGCCATGGCCCGATGCACCATGGAAGTGCTCCCGAGTGGAGCGGGACAGGGAGCGGTAGAGAAGTTGCCACTCCAGGAGACGTTGCGTCCCATAAAAATAAAACAAAATGCGCCAACTGCTGTTGCTCATAAATAATGCGTTTGTTAGCTCACATCTCTGTTTGGTGTTTCCACTTTCATTGGCCTGAATGAACATTGATTTGTTTTGGAGTTGTGTTGTCAGTCCGTCTGTTTTCATCCGTTTTTATGTTATTTTTTAATTACCGCAGCCTGAAATTTGGCCACGCTTTCGTGTCTGAATCGGAATTTCAATTGGCTTTGTCTGCGGCTTTACATAAGAACCAATCAAACTGAATGACTCTGAGCAGTTGAATAACAATATTCTTTATTTCCTTGCGTTTGTAGGCATTAGGAAAAAATCAAAAGTTGCCCAAAGATCGCTTAATTATATAATCATCCGACGAAATCTGGCAAACGACCTCCATCTCCATCTTTGTGTGGTCCCCAATGTGGAAGTCAAAGTAAATTAACCTTAGCAGAGCGGCAAGTAATTGCCACTAAAAAGAAATCATTCCCCTCTTCAGCTTTTTTTCCCCCGTTTAGACCATAATTGTTTTGGTTTCCCCGTAAACATTCGGAGCCGGTTGACAAACAGTTGGCCGGGGGCAGCTTTTGATCTCTGATCTCTTCGGATGCTGCTGCATGTTCTTCATTAAACCATCCACTACATGATACGGAATTTGTATAAACAACTGCAAATTTGTTTACGGCATCTCCGATTGAGTGGCAGTTACTTCCTGAACGAAATCGTCTGTGGGTGGTTCGACTTCTTCGATTCGAAGTCAAATTGCCTAATTGGTCCATTGCCCCATCAAGAGTTCAACCGTACAGTTCACCACTTAAGAGTTGACATAAAAATTGTAGAGCGTAGACGATGGCACAAAACTCGTTTTCACGTTAAATGAAAATTACCAGCAAAAGGCGATTCCATAGAAATAATATTTTATTTTTTCCACTACGCCCATTCGGAGGGCACATGGGATCCGAATCCGAATACGAGTCCGAATCGAGGTTCACCCCCTTCCCCCTTCCGCACCCTGCTTATGTGTTAATTGCTTATTATATCTTCGTTTTTATGTCGCCTCTACGAGAATGTCTCTGGGACCAGAACCAGATGCAGCGACATGTTCATTTATCAAAAGTCAAGCCACGCTCTGAAACAGCGCCCCTCTGCCAACCCCCTGACCTTCCCTCAAGCCCCATGACAAACTGCAGATAAGGTCAATTAAAAGAGTCAACCGGAAATGTCGCGACGCTCGGTTAGGAGCCACAGATCCCTTAAAACATCTCTCTTTTCCCCCGATTTGACTTTTCACGTACTCATCACTTTAATGGTTTGTCAAATATCATCAAATCGAACAATTACCATATCCAAATTTGGGTGGCTGGGAATTCGAAATGGGGGCGTTTTAATTAGATTAGACGACCAAAGAACAAGTCATAAATATTTTCGCACAACAACGCAATTTATTATTTTAATCTACCGGATGTGAAGTCGCACTCCTCTCACAGTCCCCAGTAATTAAAAGCATAAAGCAGAAGTGCATCAGGAAAAAAACTGGGGAGCAAAACCAAAGGCGGGTGCAGTTCTTTCAAAAACCCGAAGTACGAGTATACACCAAGTATGGGCAAAGGCAGTCAAGCGATGGCTGGAGAAGTTGGGAGAGTGCCCAAAAAGAACGTTAGAAGGTAGGACAGGAAGTGCCTGTCTGGGTGTGCCTAGGAACATGAGCAGTCATGTGTGAAAAACCCTCAAGGGAAATGCAGCAAAAAGGTGCCGGGCAGGTAGCTGGAAAATCAATATCTGCGATGGACTGGATAAACAACAGGCCGGGGGATCGCGAGATAAGAACGGCCATCTCCTGGCTATCAGCTTGGGAAAGCAAATCTCAAACACCTTTATAAGGAGGGGGATCTCAGGGAACTCATTAGTTTCACTACAACTTCCGCACTTGAAAAGTCAGTTCACACTCCATGGGTTTTTGGAAAGGTATTGGCAAAGCAAGAAGTTATTTTAGTGTTGAAAAGGTAAATAGGTATCAGAACATAAATATTTGTTAATAATATAGATTTAAATTATTTGTAGCTTTGTCCTATGGAGTTGTTTGATTTAATGCTTAATTCTCCACCGATCTTTACTGACCGCCACCTTCTTCTCTTTCTTGCAGATCTATCCCGGTCCTGATCCTAAACACATTATGGGCTCCTTGGTATTTTGCATTCATCACAAGCAGGGCTGCAAGTGGTCCGATGAGCTGCGAAAGCTGAAGGGGCATCTCAACGCCTGCAAACATGATGCCACTCAGTGTCCCAATAAGTGTGGAGCCCAAATTCCCCGGATCATGATGACCGATCACCTACAGTACACCTGCACGATGAGGAGAACGCGTTGCGAGTTCTGTCAGAGCGAATTCTCTGGAGCTGGATTGGAGGAGCACAACGGTAGCTGCGGCCAGGAGCCTGTCTATTGCGAGGCCAAGTGCGGTCAGCGGATTCTCCGTGGCAGGATGACGCTCCACAAGTCCAAGGACTGCGCCAAGCGACTCCGACGCTGTGCCCATTGCCAGCGTGAATTCTCGGCGGACACACTGCCCCTGCATGCGGCCCAGTGCCCAAGGGCTCCCTTGGCCTGCCCACAGAGATGCGATGCGGGCCCAATTGCCCGGGGTGAGCTGGAGGCCCATCTTCGGGATGAGTGTCAGTCTTTAGCCGTGTCCTGCAGCTTCAAGGAAGCGGGATGCCGTTTCAAGGGTCCCCGACAGATGCTCGAGGCTCATTTGGAGAGCAACGCCGCAGCCCACCTTTCGCTAATGGTGGCCCTTAGCTCGCGACAGGGTCAGCAAATCCAGATGCTTAAGTCAGCAGTGTCCAAGCTGTCCATCAACTACACAGGTACTCTGCTGTGGAAGATTACCGACTGGTCAGCCAAAATGGCGGAAGCGAGGGGAAAGGATGGTCTAGAGCTGGTATCACCTCCCTTCTACACTTCCCAGTACGGATACAAGCTGCAGGCCTCCATGTTCCTTAATGGGAATGGACCCGGAGAGAACACTCACGTGTCCGTATACATTAAAGTTCTGCCCGGAGAGTACGATGCCCTGCTCAAGTGGCCATTCTCGCACTCAATCACCTTTACGCTGTTCGAACAGGGAGCCCAAAGTGGCCAAGGAGGCGTAGCGGAGTCGTTCGTACCGGATCCCACCTGGGAAAACTTCCAGCGACCCTCAAATGAACCCGATCAGCTAGGATTCGGCTTCCCACGATTCATCTCTCATGAACTTCTGCACAGCCGGCCCTTCATCAAGGGGGACACCGTGTTTCTGCGTGTAAAAGTGGATCCCAGTAAAATAGTTGCCGTCTAGCGACCTTAAATAGTTTCTTAGACATTTACTCGACTTTTGTAAATACTGTGTATTTAAATTTATGAGTAAATCACCTAGCCTAGCGTAGTCTAGCCTGTTCAGTACCAGCGGCAGCTTCAGGCGATGTTGGCCATCAGGCGCTAACTGGCCTTTGAATGCCGACCGCTGGGCCACTGCGTCATAGTCATACTCGTTTCGTTTAAGTTTTTGCAGTGCTGGAATTAAACCAAAGCATACATACGCATAGAAATAAATTTAGAGCTCATCAAATTCATTCATAAAAGTACGCCTAAGTTCGTGTCTTAAGTCTTTTGTTTAGAGATTTGTATTATTGCGCGCGATGCGATCACTTTCAAAAGATCTTCAAACTAGACCGTACGCTCAAAATCAGTTAGACCATAAGTTGCATGTACATAGCGTTAAATTCGGATCAGCCGCAGCAACCGCAAACCTAGTTCTAGTTGTAGCACCTAGTTAGTTAGTTAAGCCAACGCATTAGTCATTATCCAACTTTCAACATAGTCAAATAAGTTTATGTTTAAAACCTACAAAGTCAAAAATATAATAAAATGAAGCAATTAAAATACAAAATCCTTTAATTCAATTGGTATTATTTGAGATGTATTTTCTTCAAAGGCAGAATGCTAAGTAAGTAAGGACTGAGTTGATTCTTTCCTAAAGCTCTGGTGGCGGTGAAGGTGCCTAGGGCACACCGGCGGTGAGGGCTCACTTAAGGGTTTATCAGTACTGAGATAATTGGATTATCGGTGGATAATTAGATTGGCAGCCTTGTTATCTATCGAATTAAAGTTTTTTGCCTCAATACTTATTCTGCCCGCGAAATTTAAAAGTATTTATCAGTAATTTTAGATTCCGGTTTGATTGAAAATAAGTCTGGTATTTATTTAAAATTGGATGGATTGAAAATAATACATAACTACAGAGTTAATTCTGTAATTTTTTGTCTACAAACCTAGTAGACCATTTAAACCAAATAGACTTAATAAATAAATAAACAAGCATTCACGAATATTGTAAACTAAAGCGAACTCAGTGGAATGATTGGTGAATATAGTTTGCCCTATGGAAAACGCTTTTTTAGGAGATTCTCCAGCTTCCGGATGCCCGTCTGGGAGCTGCCATCGGCGTTTTTATCTGCACTACCTGTAAAGCTTCCTACGCTGAAAATAAAGGCTCGTTTGGGTGTGGAAGAAGATGCCGTTGTCGCTACCACTGTGCTGGAATCAGTTGCTCCTGTGGAAGGTTCAGCGTCGTCCGTCGTCACGGATGATACGGCTGTAGTATCGGTTGCTTTGATATCTTCATCTCCAGCAGTTGCCTCTATTAGGCCACTAACAGCCGCTGCTGAAGCCGTGTGCTTGAACAGATCGATCAACTGCAGCTGATCCACCCGCTTGACCGCTTTCATATCCAGAATTTTTTGGTATTCGGCAATGGTGATGTCGGGAAGAAGTTTAAGTACTTGCTGGGTGAAGTGCGCTGGCGGTTGGACTGGTGTCATCACCACTTTGATGATCATCTCGGCCCGCGTCATGTCCTTAACCACTACCTTTGTGTAGCTAGTCGGGGCCTTTCGGTTTACGCTCGATCCCACCGAAGGTAGCTCTAAAAGTGCCGTCTTCAGAGAATGGGTGTCCAAAAGAAGCTGCTCACAGCCAAGTACATTATTGGATCCATCCGAAAGCGTAAGTTTACAGCGGTACAGGACGTTGATGAACTTCGGTATAAAAGCAGCCACGAAGCGATGGCAAAACTGCGTGAAGTATTTGCGCGAACTTGCTAGTGTGTCTCTAATAGTTGGCACTGTCTGCTTGAAATTTCCGCAGAGACTGCTGATGAAGGCGCTCTGATCGCCCACGTTATTAATATGCTGCCACTGCACCTTGGCCATCGCCTGCAGCGAGGCCTCGCAGCCAGCTTCAAGATCCTGGACCAGAAGCTGGATGCAGTTGGATATGATCCTGTTAAGGGATGAGAACATAAGATTAAGATATGACCATAGCACAGCTTGTGTTTAACTTACCGATGAAACACATCCTTTTCCTCGCTCATATCAATCTTACTCACATAGGCAGACGTCACCTTCTCCTTCAGCTTATCCTCTAGTTGCTGAACAGTCTCTAGGCAGTACTCACCGGTGGTCAAAACGCAGCAGATGCGCACTAAGTCATCTCTTGAGAAACGTTGAGTGTCGCCCTCCTTGAGAAAGTTATGGAACACCTGGCCAGCGGCAGTGGACAAATTCTGCATGTCTCGCGTTAGCAATGAAACGCTCTTGCCGATGGAGCTACCAGTGGTGGCTGGCACCAGCTTCGGTGTGCTACCCTCGAGCACTTTGGAAGCGTATTCCCGCAGATATTTTTTGAACACAAGGGCGAGATCGTACATGGGCTGCTCGTTGCTTAGCTGGTTGCACTGTACCATGCACTTTTTATAAAAGACGAAAAGATCGCCCGAACTTGGGTATACGGTAGTCTTGGCCTCGGCAAACTTATACGGTTCCCGAGACATCTCCACGAACTTATCCATTAACTCTGAAAGATTCCGGTCAATGCTACGTATGTATATGTCCAGGTGCGACTTAAAGCATTGTCCGATTTGGTCGTGAAAGACTGTTATGGCCAGAGCAGTTTCCGTTGTCGTCGGCTCTGTAAGGACTCTTGCTTGCTCCGTGGGCTTGGCTCCAAGAGTTATTCCCGTGAAGCGTTTGGAGAGTAGCTGCTCGAAAGCCTGCGTCTTGTTAATGGCGAACAAAAGTAGTCTTACATCGATCTCGTTGGTGCGTTTGGCCATTATCTGTGCTAGCTGTTCACGCGTCTGTCGGCAAAACTCGACTGTAATTCGCTCTGAGACCTCCCAATCAAGGGGAAATACCGGCCCATACTTGTCCTCAAAGTCCAACAAATGACGCTTAAGCCAAGCGTAACGTTTGTCGATCTTGTCCAACCAGGCAATATCCTGGTTCTCATGGAACAAGTGGGTGTACTCCTCCAACTGTTGAGCAATAAACCATTTAAGCAGCTCTTTCTTCACCTTTGGATCCAGCACAGACATCACTTTGCAGGCGTCTGCCAGCTGATTAAGTCCCAACCTATGCTGGTTTTGTGCCGAAGGCTTCGAGGCGAAGGCTTCCTTGAAATCTTCAGTGATTTGTTGCGCTAGGGTAACCTGTATTTTGTCCACGCTCTGAGAGAGATTCTAAAAGGAAAACGAGCTTCGTTAGTAAATGCTTTTGGTTGGATTCTGAAGTTACCTTGATTTCATCAATGTCGGAGAACTGCTGAAAGTGCTGGTTCACTTCCGTTATAGCCTGCAAGGGATTAAGGATTTCCCCATAGGATCGACGTTCAATCAGCTTGTTTAGGCTTTCGATTCCGCCCACCAACATGTGCAGGTGATTCAGCGAAGTAATCGCAGCGGTGAGGTTGCGCTTGGCGCAATCTAGTTGCTTAATGTCCCGAGTAATCTCCTTGACCATCTCCTCGGTGCGCTCAGCCCGGGTCTTTACGTCGATGATGTGGCTGAACAGGGAGCTAATAACTTTCTGGGCTTCAGTCAATGCCAACTGACCATCCTGACCGGTATTCGTCTGACCACGAACCACAGATCGGATATTGTCGTCAATTAGTGACACCTCACACTGCATCTTTTGAATGGTCTCATCAATCCCGGCTAGCGATTGTTCATTAGGAAAGAGCTGGTTGATGTAGTCTACGGTATTGAAATCCGGCGCATCCATTGGATCATCTGTTTTGAGAACCTTTAACGGAGAGTCTCAATTGGTTGGAGGAGCCGTGTCCATATGTACGTTCCACTGACTCACCTTGTCGATGACCTGCTTCACCTCTTTGGAGAAGTGGATTTTGTTGTTGGCCACCATTCTCTCCTCCACCTCTCCATCTACCGCAGTCTCACTCATCCCGTTTTATTTGTATCCTATTTATCTGTATTAAAAGTTTTTATTTTTCCTTCGTGACAAACCAGGGCTGGAATGCATTTATCTGAGAACAGCTGCTGGTAGAGTAAATTTGTGCTGTTAGGCGCTGACCGGTTAGATTGCTATAAATCGATAATAAAAGCTATCGAAATTCAAAAATTATCTTATCAAATATGAAATGTTTTTTGTATGCTTACTTTAATAGTTGAATTTCTATAGTCTTAGATACATAGATGCAGTTTTTAAAGGTTTCTTGTCTGAATATGATAGACTTCAGGAATTTACGTATAACTATCTCTATTTATCTTAAACCAGCTCTACAATATTTGGGTATTAAAATCACTGGGAAAACAGAGAGTTACTATTGGGACCCGAACTTGATCCCGCCATGGAAGTACTAAGCATTGAAGTGTCCCTCTGTGAAGCAGTGGCCGTGCGTTGATAACGAGCTATGTGATCTAGAGAATAAGGCAGGATAGGTCGTACGCTGTGGATCTCAAGAAGAGTAAGGTTATCCAGCTTTGCATAGGTGCCCTCTCCTTTAATAAAGGCGTCAATCGAGGTGCGAAGCTTAGACTCGCGTATGTCGAAGATGTCCTTGATGACTGTGCGCAGTTCCTCGCATCGGGGAACATCATCCGGAGCCGTGCTCATGACCAACTGGGCCACGACCATGTAATGCTCGCAAGGCATTTTCGTGAAGAATCTACAGATGACCAAAGAGTTAATTTTGGCATGCAATTGACTTTCCCGATTCATACATACTTTGATCGTTTTTCCTCCTCCTTGATTTCCTCCAATATATCCATGTCCATCCATTCTGGCGGCACAATCCGGCACTTTTGTTGCTTGCGCAGATGAGTGGCCATCCACAGGGGCACAAAGACGGGAAAACCAGCCCTAAATGGACCGACAGACCCATATATTAAATGCAAGGGTTCGTTGGAAAAGTTTGGTATAATACTGATCATGCACTTTTCCCCAATAAATTCAATAATTGAAGGATCCATAATTTCTCCAAGCAAACAATAAACAAATCCGGAGGTATACGGTCACATTGTGTGTTAGAGCTGGCAACAGCCTAATATCGATCTTCAATTATCGGCATAGGAAATTTACCGGTCTGGCAGCCCAGATAGTCGACCGTTAATAACGGATTTCGTTTTCTAATCAATTTGCTTGCATCACGAAGCTATTGCCTGCAGATTCTGCGTCAGCTTAATCACGTCAAACTATAGACGTCTACGACTCAATAGCCACAGTCCGCAACTATAAATATGCCAACCGTAATAAAGCGACCTTCGGGCGGGTTATCTCATCTGCACTATCTCCGGCCGGATCGAATCGAATCGCATTGCTGCACCGCTGCAACTAATGGAGCTGACTAATTTGTGCTCCCGATGCGAAACTGTTATTGCAGATTCCGGCTAAGGCAATGACAACTATCAAGAATCACGTAAAACGCCAGTCGGGCGTCGTGATAAGCACATGAATGCCAAACATGATCAAGCGTTCAAGTTCAGCTAAGTTTTCCATTTTATAATATATAAGCTGGCCAGGCGTAATCCCTTGCACCACTCCGCCGTAAATCCAAAACTAAAGTGCACTAGATAGCGTTAGCTAGCCTCTTATCAGTCTTATATCTTTCCTCGCAAATATAGCTCCCAAATAAAACTATTTGCCCGTTAATGACCCGCTGTAATGGCGGTCACCACAAGGTTAGATTCGCAGGAAACTGAAGAGATTTGAACTGCAGTCTAGTCTGCAGACAACTTTGATAGAGAACCCAAAATAGAAATCTTCTGTGTATTATTCGGATGTTCTTTATACGGCAGAACCCTGAGCGTAAACAACAGCATCGATTTGTTGACTTATCGCTTCGAGAGACACCATCGATGGAGTGAGATGGGTATTCAAGGGGGAGGAGGCTATTGCCGTGAAATGTTCCCGTGCTGATAATACCAGGCGCGGCCAGTTAATTCTAGAAAACTAGCTGCGATGTGTTGTGAACTGTGGGCTTCGAAAGATCAGGTAGAGCACCATGATCTCCAACCCCTTCCAAGGATGGCAATGTCCAGTTTTCCAGTTAACCAGGACAGGAACAACCGAACATCGTACAGACATTCTCCACCGTAAGGTTTTGGTTCTCACACATCCGTAGGAAAAACGTAATCAGCGGGAGAAACAGAAGCTGGACGATTTTCTGATAAGACGGAGAGTGGACTGTGGAACCCAAGATGGGATGTATGGAGGGGGATGGTTGGGAGGCATTAATTTTTAGCAGAAAAGTGCGACTTGAGCGACTAGTTGGCTTAGTGCTTGTCTATTTTCGGCAGGGTACGGAGCTGCTGGCTCTCGCGACCAACAGACCAACAATTAAGCTCCCAACGCAACCAAGAAAACTGATTTCCATTTTCACGTAGAATTGCATCTGGGAGAAGCATCGATAAGAAGACAGACAGCGGTTTGGGTTCGGGCAGTTGCTCTTGAATCCTCAGTCTTCGATCAGCGATCACTTAAAACTGAATTCGGCAACGGTCGTTCACGTTTCGGAAGACTAATTGATAAGCCTGGTTCAGCCACCACATCCGCGATCTTTATCATCGGTTTGGCCCAAAAATTATGTGCTAACTTTTTCTGCAAAAAAATATTCGTGAAAGCCTATAGCTAATTTACCAAAGATCACAATGCCCGACACGGAGATCATTGTTACCAATGCCGGGGAGCCTTCTACCAAGGCAAGTCTCATCGTGGTTTCCAATCGTTTACCATTTGTGCTAATCCGGAATCCGAAAACCGATGAGCTGGAACGCAGGGCGAGGTAAGTGTGATAATTTTGTTTTAATATTGGTTTACACAATTCTGGTCAAAAAAATAATATTTAGCAAAAAGCTTATGTAATCCAAAATTATAAAACAAATTTAAATATTTTAAAGTTTCCTAAGTAAAGTAAAGCGTATTACGTAATCTTGGTTGCTAAAAAATACACAGAAGCTCGAATTTAAACATAAATTCATTAATCATTAATTTCTTCAAACATTAAATTCATCCTTATTTCTCTTGTCATGAGTTCTTAAAACTTTTCAAACCAAATTTTAAACTACATAGTTAAGCGAAGATTCTTCTTTCTTAGAAATCTCACAAAACCTATCCCCATTTTTCTAATCATCCTATATGCACACTTTTAATCCGGAAATAAGGGCAATTCAATTGAAATTTAAATAAATTTCAAACAAAGGAAAGTTCTGAATAGCCATGAAAATCAAATAATACGAAATGTTCGATGATTTCGTAAGCACGCTTATCAATTCTCCGGACGTGAAGAGCCAAAGATTGGTTAGGGCAAATTTTCATGTTCTTCGTACTCCCGAAAATCCATAAGTAACCCAGTTCGATCCTCGAGCCCACAATTTGCATTGAAGATAAGCCGCCTGACCGCCGCCACCCAACTAGCAGCCCAGATCCTCCATCCAATTCTCGATCCAACTATGTGACATACCTATATTTCAGTTCATCTTGATCTCGGCTAAGCTCTCAATCTTATCAGTGCAAAACATACAGAGAGGAAGGGAGGCGAATAAAGATGAGTTGAAACATGCGAAGTCTGGGCGTTAAGTTACAAAACAAATTCAATAATAATGGCTGGCCTTATCAGCGAGGTTTGTTACTCGTTTTTGACCCATTCGGGTGTCTGGTAAAAGGGTCAATACTAGAGGCGTTATGGCGAGCTGTAGCCGCCCAATAGAACCTGAACCTGACACTGAAAAAGGTGTCACGTGAATGAGATTAATTTGCGATGGAGCTGTGGCAGCGACTCAGAGCATCCTGACCTATGCCAGGAACGAATTTCTTTTGGGCCTCCGCTCTCGCAGAATGTCTCCGGATGGGACGATATGGACCGGAGCTGAGTCCAGAGCTTGTTTACAATCGCTGGCTTAATGGGCATCTTCTTATCAGGCCCCCGGTGTCATGCACTCTGCACAAAATGGGCTGGGTCCTAACACACACACACACTCATCCAGTAACTTTGGCACTTGATTACGTATTTCATATGTCTGAAAAGAATAACGTATTTACATCTCTTGGTCAGTTCTTTTCTTAAATTAAGGACTTCATACATTTTGTGGCTAAAGTAGTATAACACAAATTTGGAAAAAAGACTAACTATAATTCTGTGTTATAATCATTTTTGAATTTTATTTGTAACACTTAAAAATGACTAATGATTTGATGACTAATATTGATTATATATGTTTACTCCAGCGCTGGTGGTCTAGTAACCGCAGTGTGTCCGGTGGTGATCAAGGGCAGCGGCCTGTGGGTAGGCTGGTCAGGAATTCATTTAAAGGATCCCAACGAGGCCATTCCCGAGTCCAATCCCAATGATCAGACGCCAACCGCTGGCCTCAAGTCCGATCAGGTTGTTTCTGTCAACATCGACTCCAAGATCTTCGATAGCTACTACAACGGATGCTGCAACAAGATTTTCTGGCCGTTATTCCACTCAATGCCAGGACGCGCCAACTTTGGAGGTGAGCATTGGCATGACTATGTGACTGTCAACAAGCATTTTGCTGTGCGAACTATCGAGGCTCTGGAAAAGTGCCTGGCCAAGAACCAAGGCAGCGAAAAGAGCCCACCGATTGTCTGGATCCACGACTACCATCTCATGCTGGCCGCCAACTGGGTACGCGAGCATGCCGAGGAGAAGAATCTTCCCTGCCGTCTGGCCTTCTTCCTGCATATCCCTTTCCCACCATGGGACATCTTCCGCTTGCTACCCTGGTCCGACGAAATCCTCCAGGTAAGAAAACGGAAGAAAAAAAACTACTCTACCGAAAACCATTTAATAATGCAAAGAAGGACCAGAGAGTCCAAATAACTTGTTTTTCTGTTTCTGTCTAGGGCATGTTGGGTTGCGATCTAGTGGGCTTTCATATCCAGGATTACTGCCTGAATTTCGTGGACTGCTGCCAGCGGAACTTGGGATGCAGAGTAGACAGAAACAATCTCCTCGTGGAACATGGCGGCCGCACAGTGCGCGTCCGTCCCCTTCCCATTGGCATTCCCTACGAGCGCTTTGTTAATCTGGCCACGACAGCACCTAAGGTGCTAAAGACATCCAAGATGCAGATTATTTTGGGAGTGGACCGACTAGATTACACCAAGGGTCTTGTCCATCGCCTGATGGCCTTCGAGGCGCTTTTGCTGAAGTATCCGCAGCACAAGGAGAAGGTGAGCCTGCTGCAGATTTCGGTGCCTTCGCGAACGGATGTTAAGGAGTACCGGGAACTAAAAGAAGAGGTGGACCAGCTGGTGGGCCGGATTAACGGCCGTTTTACCACCGCCAACTGGGCACCTATCCGCTACATCTACGATTATGTTAGCCAGGACGAATTAGCGGCTTTATATAGGGATGCGGCTGTTTGCCTGGTCACACCGCTTCGGGACGGCATGAACCTGGTAGCCAAAGAGTTCGTGGCCTGTCAGATTAACGAGGTTCCCGGCGTCCTGGTCATCTCTCCTTTTGCAGGAGCTGGTGAGATGATGCACGAGGCTTTGCTCTGCAATCCGTACGAGGTAAACGAGGCTGCGGAGGTGATCCACCGAGCGCTGACTATGCCCGAGGATGAACGTGTACTTCGAATGGCACGTCTCCGACGACGAGAAGCGGAATGCGATGTCAGCCATTGGATGCGTTGCTTCCTGAAAGCAGTTGGCGCTCTGGAGATGGACGATGTGGGCACCACCATTATGCAACCGGTCTCTGTGGACGACTTTGATGACTACTTATTGAAGTAATGATATAAATCCATGAAATTTCTAAGATGATCCTTAAATAATTTGTTTGTATCCTCCAGATACATCGGCTATAACCACAAGTTGGCTTTGCTGCTGGACTACGACGGCACACTGGCGCCCATTGCTCCCCACCCAGATCTGGCCACGCTCTCACCCGAGATTAAAAATGTTCTGTACAAGCTATCCAACCACTCGGATGTCTATGTGGCTGTCATCTCCGGCCGAAACGTCGATAATGTTAAAAAGATGGTTGGCATAGAGGGCATCACCTATGCAGGCAATCATGGTCTCGAAATCCTCCACCCAGACGGCAGCAAGTTTGTACACCCAATGCCTATGGAGTACGAGAAGAAGGTTAGCGATCTGCTCAAAGCGCTGCAGGATTCTGTCTGTCGCGACGGAGCATGGGTGGAGAACAAGGGGGCACTGCTGACGTTCCATTATCGCGAAACTCCAAATCACCTTAGAGGAGCGATGGTGGACAAGGCAAGATCGTTGATTGAAAAATATGGCTTCCGGGCCACGGAAGCGCATTGCGCTTTGGAAGCTCGTCCGCCGGTGCAGTGGAATAAGGGACGTGCCTCGATCTATATCTTGCGCACATCTTTTGGCGTAGACTGGAATGAGCGCATCAAAATAATCTATGTTGGTGACGATTTGACAGATGAAGATGCCATGGTGGTATGTGTGCATAGAGGAATCCTTTCAGCATGGCTGGTGATTAATTATTTACGTTGCCCCCCCTAACAGGCTCTTAAGGGAATGGCACGAACTTTCCGTGTAACATCGTCGGACATTGTGAAGACCGCAGCGGATCATCGGTTACCTTCCACAGACTCTGTGTACACGCTGCTCAAATGGGTGGAACGACATTTCATGGGACGCAAGGCGCGCGCTAATTCGCTGACTTACAGACCCACCAAGGGCGACGGTGTCCAGATGCAGATGTCCCTGGAGGTGGCCTCCTCGACAAACAATCTGGAGGTGTAAGCCGATGCATCCAAGCATGTATAAGCAACCTCGTAACTCAGATAACTTGTAAGATTTTTAAAATAAAGAAAAACGAAATCGTAGCTTAAATAAATGTACAATTGATTTTCGATTTTTTTTTGGTTACGATATGGAACGTGCACTGTTTTTTTTTACGAACTAATCACTAAGCCAAGCTTCACGAAATGAGCTAATTGTGGGACAAGACCAGCCACGAGATGATGAAGAAGAACAGAAAGATGGGGTACACGGCCAAGGCTTTGCGATGGGGTGGCTGGCTCTGACCAAGAAATACGAAGGAAGCTAGAACGATAATTATTAGATCGATTTTCTAATATTTAAATTAGATTGTCATACCATAGGTGGCCCAGGCAAAACCTATAGTGGTGGTCACAAAGCGGAGAAAAAAGAGTAGGCTTGTCTGTGCGGCCAAAAGGATTACCCGACACACAATTAGCGAAATGGCCACCGGCGTAAGGCAGTAGCCAAGCACGCATACGGATTGGAAGAATGAGCTGGTGGAGATTGGGATGATTTTTCTTAACTAATTTGTAATGCCTATAAAGAAACATTATGCTCACATATTGCCACCCAGCAACTTGGAGTTAAGTGTGACTATTGCCGCTCCGATCCAGACGATAACAAAGACTTGGGCGAACTCGGGTCCGTTGTCGGACATGCTGTCGACGGATGAGGAGCCCTGTAAGATGGTGGCCATAAAGGTGCACAGCACAAGAGGTCCCCACAGGTCCCCTAAAAAATGTTGTAAACAAAATAATCAAACTGCCTACGAATGCAGGGGTAACCGAAATGATGACGTACAATCGCGGAGTAGACTAGACTTCTCCTTGGGATAGAGCACATGGTAGAACTTGACGCCGACAGCGCGAATGTCTCGAAGCACTGTCTCCCGGATGGGCTCGTCCAGAGTATTGTAATCCGGAACACCGCTCGCAGACGTTGCAGTTGTGGTTCTTTTGCCCGGAATCGACATATCGCCCTCTAAAGAAGGCGACGTGTTGACGTCCTCAAACATCTAAGGGGAAAATATATTAAACATTAAGTTATTTTTTAAAGTTTTCTACTTACATCTAATTTGGAATCCATTAGCTTTTGTATTATCTGTTATATATAATAACGTTTACATCGACAAGAAATTATAAATACGCCAGCTAATACATAGTGCTAATAATGTGACCTTAATGTTACCGATACCTGGCCATCGGTATCGGTTATCGATAACACTCGAAGACGACAGATAGATTTGATTCTCAGCTAAAAAGTTTGTAATTTACTAAGCTCAATTTTAATATAGTAAGAAAACTATTTTTAAATCCTATTCTTAATTTCAAGTTAAACTTTGAATTCACTGTATTATTGTTCAGCTTTCTAGGATATATACATATACATTTGTATGTATATAGGATAACCATTGCATATAATACATACATACATGAATCAAGGGATTCCCAGAAAAGATACTCACTTAATGATGGTTAATGAGAATTCCATGGATCTTAAAGAATCCTCTGACCCCAAACTATTTGATAACAACATTATTAATTCAGGTGTGCAAATGCAAAAGCTTACGCTAGAACGGGACCAACTCAAGGACCAGCTAAGGAAGTGTATTGCAGAAAACCAGAAAGTAATGGATGGCGTTTTAAGTAGCATTAACTTCGTGAAATCGCAGAAATTCCTTCTTATCCGTGAACGTGATATGATCGCATCGGAATTGGAGAAGGTCAATGCTGAGTTTAAAAGTATAGTTGCGCAACTGGAGGAGTCGAAGCAAATTAACGGTCAAAAGGAGATAATGCGCCTACAACTTCTCAATGACCTCAAAACTCAGGAGCAACTCCATTTGCAAGAAATTGATAAACAGAAAAAGAGACTGAAAGATTTTAAGAGTATTATATGCTCCATCTGTCTTGAGACTTTTAACTCTAGTCCAAACAATTCGGCTGACTCTTTAAGTTGTGGCCATATTTTCCATAAACTATGCCTTCAAAAGTACTTAAACAATGAGTATTATTTGAATTGCCCAATTTGCAGGTATAAAGATAATATCGATCAAATTCGCCCTATCTTTTTCTAAAAATGTGTAATATGTATGTGTATGTACATATATTCATACATTCATATATAAATGTAAATTTACATTTCTGTATTTTTGTAATGACGCATAAAATAACTAAAAAAAAAGAACATTCTTTGTTTCACATTTTAGAATTCATTATTTTCAAATCATTTTTTAAGTAACTTAAATATTTTTAAAGTTCTATTTTACGTTAAATTTGACCTTACTTTGGAATTCTAATAAAATTCAGGTTTTATCTTTTCTAAATGATTGGACTTTTTTATGTAATAAGCTGTATGCACAAAAATTGTAATTTCAATATCTAGTTGTTTAAACAGAAAAGAATAATGTAAACGGGATTTGTTATACAACAACCACAATAAAAATTAAAAAGCTAGAAAATGCGCTAGAATAATCAGGTCTGTCCTCGAGTGACCGTATTTTCTGTAATCGGCTGTCTCGAACACTTGATCCGCAAACCGTAATCTAAACAGACGCGAATTTTGATACTATGCTGTAGGCGGACGCGAATTTTTTAACTGCACCTGCAGGATATTGTCAAAATAAAATGGCAGCGAAGCGGGCTGAAAGTCCGGAAAAGCGAACGACTCCGGAGCCCTCTCAACGTGGTCTTAGCACAAAGTTGGCGCTCCGTCGTCTCCATGAAGAGATTGAGCGGATGCTGCTGGAGCATGAGCGGCGATACAACGCGGAAAGGTGAGTCAATTAATATCCGGTGATATATAAGTGACGACAGACAATCCTCTTTAAATACAGCTCTTATCGAAAGTTGCGTGCGGCATTTGTCAAGCGCTATGACAGCCCACTGGGATGGCTTTCTATTGGTGCAAGTCTGTTGGCCAGTGGAGCTCTTCTCATCACGGGAATGATGTGGCCCGCACTGTGCTTGCTAGCAATCTTATCACTTGACCTATTCGTGGTGGTACGGGAAAACAATCTGCGGCGCACCGAGATCTTCCGAAAGACGCGACATGCTCTTGCCGAACTTCAATTGGCGGAGCAGCACTTCAGCGCCGACTGGCAGCCGGCCAACTATCCGCACCTCAGTAATCCCATGTCCCCATGCGTCTCCCTGCAGTGGACATATCGCGATGGAAAAATTGTCAACCTGCCGTGGGCTTTGCTGGTGCGCGGAGACTATATTGTTTTGAGACCCGGACATATTTCACCCGGACCCTGTCACGAATTAGAAACGAACAAGTTCTTTACGGCCAATGAAATCTATGGATCAGCTCCACATGGAGATCCTCCCGTAAAACCAGTGGCACGGCCGCCGTTGCCAGATCTCGTATGCTGTTTGGAAAGCACACCTTACCTGGAAAACCTAACCGTTTGCCTTAAAAACTCCCTGAAAAGACCGCCTACCATCTACAATCAGCAACGCTATCTGGTAAGGAGATCTTCAAAAGAAATTAAAACCCGGTCTTATCTTTGTTTATTTCAACAGCTGGTCACCAAGTACATACAACAGTGGGGTTTTATTAGTGCTCTGGCTATCACGCTCATCTCGGGGCTACTACGCCTCCATGGCTACGGCCTGCCCACTGACGAGAAGCACAACTGGCGGTTCGTGCTCATCGAATCCCCGGCGGCAGCTATAATTCCGCTGTTACCACTGATCTTTCCGCTCATGTGGATATCAATGAATCTGTGGGGCATAGCTCGGCTTCAGTGCTTCCTTAAAACGCCGCAGGTGGCCCTGGAAAAGAGTTCGAGCAAATCGTTTGCCGAGGACCTGGACACGCCGTCTTATGACTATCAGAATGTGACTATGCTTCGTTCCAATGTGCTTCGAATCTGGATGCAGCTGTGGCGTGGTGACAGTGAATTGTTGCCGCGTTCAGCGAATCTCGTTCAGGTACTGGGCTCCATATCGGCGCTCTGCTGCGTAGACAAGAAGGGCATACTGTCCTGGCCTAATCCCACCGCCGAGAAGGTATTTTTCCTTCACAACACCGACGAGGAATCGCGTGAGGACGGGGCAGGCAGTACGTCGTCTTCCCAGAGCGAGAGTGACGATGTACCGGATGTCGATGAGGATCACAAGGAGCGGGGTATAGTGGCTGAAGTACTAGACCTCACGCACGACCAACACTGCCCTTTCCGTCTGGAGTTCGACGATCATGAGTGGAAGGCGCACATTAAGTCCTTGAAGCCATTGGGTAAATTTTAAGATTTACAATAAGTTTAGTTAGTATTATAACGAAATCGAAATGTTCTAGGTCTCGCCATTCTGCTGAACACCTGTTCTCCGCTCACCCACGAGCACTATGCACAGTTCTGCGGCCATGTAACCGCCGTGGCCATGCTCGACAAAGATCTGGTGCCTGTGACTAATCGGTATGCGTATGCACTCATTGAGTCGAGTAAAAGCTTTTTGCATGGGTACGTAGTTCATTGCCATACTCATCGTTAGTTTCTGTCTAACCAACTCATATATATGGTTGATCGCATCGACCGTTAAACTACTATTTATATAGTCTAATGATTTTCTCCAAAATGGTATTATATGCCATTGCATTTAAAGCCAGCCCGATCAAATTAGTCTTTGCTTTGGGTATTTTTGATTTTTGAATCCAATTGGACGATTCCCCCACAAAAGAAAAACAAGCGATTGGTAATAATTTATAAATTGGAAGCGTAAGAAAAACGTTTTTTTGATTTTCATTAACTTGCTATTCCTTAATGGTTTTGCTCTTATAAATTCCCATATCTCATTAAATGCCTTTGAACTAACTGCAATGTCGACTTATAAACCTTGTATTTATTATTCTACATATATTAATTTGTTTGTAATTGTAAATCAAACTCCCTTGCCTCCCCGCCCCATTTCCATTGGCATGCTATTTTAAGTAACAAACAATCAAGAACGCTTAAATATAGTTGCCCCATTCCCACTGCCGCCCTATCCACCGACCTCCATCCGCCACGCTTGCCTGCATGCTCACGCACCGCCGACGCGTCTAGTGTCAGTAAGAACCAGTTCTAATCGGTTGATTTTTATAAACAGACGCTGCCTCTGCGAGCTGGCCAAGCAGATTGGATTCACCGACCATGCCACAGATCGATTTGCGCTGGAGGGGCAACTGGCCAGTTACCGTCATTTGGTAAACTCACCATTAGTTAGGGATTAATTTTGAAAAAAAAATATAATATATCTTTACAGCAACCAGATGTGGTGCGCAGGGATATTCGGTTCGCCAGACAGTTGCAGCTGTCCTCCAAAGTGAAGGTGCCGTTTCCGCACTCCTTGTCTGTGGTTATGCGGGAGAATCCGGGCGGTTATTTGTCCCTGTTTACCCAGGGTACGGCGGATATTATTCTGGACTGCTGTGACGATTTTTGGGACGGTATTGATTTACGTCCACTGTCCGCCCAAGATCGCAAACGGGCACTAGACTTTTACCAGCGCAGTGCGTTGACCTCTTACTGCACGGCATTCGCCTATCGCCCCTTGAGGCATGGTATTCATGGAGCATTGAGTGGACCCCAGCGGAATGGAGGTGAATGTCTGTATCTGGAGCTGCCGCCGGAGTCGAAGCTACGCATGCAGCATGTGGACAAGACCCACTGCGATTTCCAGGGTGGACACCACGTTAAACTGAGCCACAGCATTAGCACAGATTCATTGTTGTTCTCCGAAAGCAAGGATGAGGAGTGCAATGATGTCGAGGGATGCTTTGAGATGCAGTGCCACCAGGTGTTCATAGGCATGGTGACAATGCAGTACCAAGCACAAAACGATATTGTGAGGCTTGTTGAGCATTTGGAACGAGCCTGCATTCGCTTTGTGCACTTTAGCAAAGAGAACGAACTGCGGTCTCGTGTCTTCTCTGAGAAAATGGGTCTCGAATCAGGCTGGAACTGCCACATCTCGCTGTTAAGCGAACCAGATCCGGAAATCGATAAGGACCGAGTTACTAACAAGACCAAGGAGATGCAGGAAAATATTGGTAAACCCCATGCCACCACTTCAACCACTGCCACCACCACCACAACAGACCATGAGAACAATCATCATCCCAGTGCCAAAGTCATGTACATATCGTCCCATGCACCCGCACCTGCCACTGCATCCGTATCAGAATCCATTTCTGCAGCTAAAGAAACTGAAATTGTAGGTGACGGTCCAGAAATAAGTTATCTATTGGGACCGCCAAATAATCTGGAGTCCTCGAAAACACTCAGCTCCTCAGCTCCTGGTGCCATTTCTAATCCGGATGAGTGCAAACCTTTAAATGCAGCGCTAAATGGTGAAGATCCCCCTTCCGCTGAGGGCGATAGCAGCAAGGAGAGCTCGCAGAATAGCACCCAAAGGCATCATCTACCCGGAGATACCGAACTGGAGGCAGAACCCGATCCTAGCAAACACAAGCAGCGCCATTCTCTGGACTCTGCCATGGACGAAAACTGCCGCTCATTAAGCACGCTCACCGAAAGCACGGATCAGAGTGCACCAATAAACTTCGATATGTCCAACAGGGCAAAACTACCAAGAGGCATTGAAAACATACGACCTCATTTGGAGCAGGTTGATAATGTCCCTCTGCAAGTCTCTCTTTTTACAGACTGTTCGGCGGAGGCTACACGCCAGATGCTGGACATCATGCAGTCCTACGGCGAAATTGTTGTATGTTTGGGAAGCTCGGCCAGCAATGCCAATGCAGACATTTTCCTACAGGCTGATTGCAGTATAGCCGTTGAACCACTGTATCCGCAGGTGTGCCAGGATGTGGACGCCTACACGGAAGCTAACATACAGCACAACAAACTATTGTGGCAACGACAGTCCGGAAAGACCAAGGCCAATGATGACGAGGAGCTGTTAGAGGGCGGCCTCCAGGGATGCGCCATGCAAACACCTGCCCACACTGTCTCCCCACTATATTTAAGCCGGCTGCTCAATTCCCTACCCTGTTCCATTGCCGTTTGCCGCGACGACCCGCTTTCTCTAGTGGCCATAATTGAGCTATCACGTCGCTTCTCTCTTGGTCTGTGGAACTGCATTCAGTATTGGGCCTGCTGTGCTGGCTCCATCTCTATTCTGAATGTACTCTGCGCGTGCCTTTCGCTGCCACCGCTTATTACCCCTCTGCTGTGTATTTATCTAATGTGCGTACCGGTGCCGCTAATAGCCATTTCGCTTGCCCATATCGACGTGGATCCTAAGATCATGAATCGGGCAACAAGCAAAAAGCAAACAGACTACGATTCGCGGGCTTTTGCATTTGTTATGTGGTGCTACGGCTGCAAATTTATTGTTCTAGTCTTATCTTTGGTAAGTAATTCTAATATTAAAATTAAAGACTAGAATTTTTAAATTCATAATATTACTCAGCTCGTTTCCTATTGGATGTTCTTATCTGAGCCCCCATTAAACGCAGTTACGGAACCTAATGAGGGATCCGTTGAAGGCATCGAGGATGAGGATGATAAGACCTTCTATCAATATCTTTACTTTGCTAGAAGTTGTGCCCTACTAGGCATAATCCTACATTTTGGTAAAGTATCTTATTGCTCATTAAAAAAGTAACGCGAACCATATTTCTATCCTTTCAGTTTTCATTTCTTTCACTTTTGTGCATCGGGATCATGCGCTCTGGCAGCGCAATCCATTTACCAATCGTATTTGGGCTATAACCTGCTTCTTGTTGGTCCTTTTTCATGCCGTTATCTGCATTGTGCAACTGCTTATAGACGATTTCTGGGAAAAGCTACCCAACCTGTGGGTGGCCATGTTAGTCTTATTTGGAGGCAGCTTGCTGAGTATGATTGTCAGTGAGATGGCAAAGTTCCAGGAGAACAAGTAAATATTCTCTTTTTCGTAATCAACTGTATATTTCAATACTCCTTATTTTTTAGGGTTAACGCGCGATATCAGCGTCGGGCGCGCCTTGACTTTGGCACCAAATTAGGCATGAATTCGCCATTCTAAAAAACACGTCTGAGACTTACCAAACGAAAAGACGCCAATGTTACACATGTACTTAGTGCCAAGGCTGTATATAACACCACAACTTAACATGCTTCTTTTAATTACTTTTACGGTTCAAACTAACCATTAGCTATTTTGTTTATGCCGACATTTGTTTGTCTTGTTTTTAGATTCGTCCTCGTTATTTCACCCACTTGTACTTCCATGTGTTTATTACAGTTTATGACACCCCCATCGAGTAACGAAACACATTTGTTATTCTTGTTTCTAAAACGGTCGGCTTCCAGTTCCTTGTTTCAATAAGAGATCATTTTTTGTACTAACATTCAAAAGACTTGCAATTATTGTATAAATATATGTATGGTAAAAACTAGAATCCCTCTTTAAATAAGTAAAAGTCTCAGGTATTTTGAATAATCCAATTGGGAAAGTGGCATGTCCAGAACTTGTTTTCTTCTTGTACTTTATGATTGAGATGTGAACAGGAAAGGACAACAGTATACAGCATGCCGGAATAGGTGCTAATGGGGAGAGGCACGGTGCAGCAAGTGGCTTAGTTACTGACCCACATCCATGGCAAAGAATGTGACAAATATTTTTGTCTTTATTTTGTACTATAAATCTTTTAATCGTTTAGAAATCGTTGATACATAATTAATTGACATCTTTTTGATGTCTTTAGACTTTTCATTGTGACAAAAGTAAATTATTTAAAAAAAAATATTTTATTTTATTATTAATGGTGATATATGTTATACTAAACTTGTATTTAGAGGGGTAAAAGAATTGATCTAAAAATTCAATACTCTCACTTTATCAAGTAGAAAAACAATATGCAGACATACCTCACATGTCTTGACGATATAAAATGTTCCTAATTAGTTGCAAAATTGAAGCCACACGCCCCGAGCACATAAGAAGTTCATCGTATGGCCACGGATTTTAAATGTAGTTACACCCCAGATCTATGTACAAATCCGAAGCAGCCGGGACCGCATAACGGAAGATGCCACCAGAAATGTGGAGTAACAAATAATTAGCACCTCCGAAGTCGACGAAATGAAAGTGCTGTTCTGCCCGTCCAGATCCAGATATATAGATCACTTCTAGTAGCACCTTTTGCTGGGAATCTGGGTCATGAAAAAACGAAATCACGAACTCGACGGGACGGCGTCGAATAAAACCATTGGCCATCAAGTGATCCGTTGTATTCGACTACATCGCGCGACGCGGTACAGTGGCGTTATTTTCGATCTCCAGCGGATATGACGAAAGTATAGCATCCGAGGATATTCAGTGATATTGCGGAATAATATATTGTATTTGTAAGTGTCCTAAAGTGAAACGCGGAACACAAATTCGAAAAATGCGGTTAGAAGGCGCCAAGCTGGCGCTGTTAGTGTCAGTCAGTGTTTTTTTTGGAAGTCTACGGACTCATGCCTACTCTCAGGTTCTGGTCGGTGGCAGCAGAGCTGAAAACGATCAAGGACCACGCATTTTTAAAGCTCTTAATACGGATTTGATATTTCCAAAGACGTAAGTTATAAGAGTTTAAGGATTGGTGATCAATTTTCCTGACAATCCATGTCCATACAGCTTTAACTCCAGTGAAAATGTGGTATCCACTACTGGAGCTCCAGTGATTGCTTTCATAAGCACGACCACTCTTCCACCCATTCCCTACAACCACCAACCTGAGGAAACAACAAGTTCACCGGTGTTTGTCACACCTTTGGTTTCATTAGAGGCGGAAAACCCGAGTGATCCTGCTCCTAGTCCTGTAACCTGCTTTTGAACCTACTCCAGTGTCGAAGGATTTACCAGAACCAGTTGTAGATGGAGTCTCCACGGGACGAGCCGTAGATTACAGGACTGCGTATCCCTTTGGTCAACTAATATCTCCATTGTTGAGGGGTGGCAAGCCACAGCAGTACAACTACCCACCATCAAAAACACGTATTTATCCCCAAAGTAGTCCTTCTTACTACACCTCATCATCACGAAATCCATCTCGCAATCATGCTTCGAGACCCAGCTATAAAAAAGGTATCAGATTCAGATAAAATAAAATAAAAAAAAAATTGAAATACAAAATTTTCAAGACAAAGATTTAAAAAAAGATAAATGTATGTAGCAATTTTATGCACAAACATTTCATTTAACCATACATTTGTTTTATGTGTATATATGTACATCCCATCATTTTATTCAGTTTTTTAAACAAATCAATTTTATTTGTTTTTATTTTTAGGATTCAGTGATCGCTTCACTCCAGGCGAAGGAACTGCCGCTGGTCTATTTAAGGGCCACAATCACAACCACGACCATAGTCACGACCATTCCCATGGACAGGACGGCAAGGTGGCCGCCGGCTCGAATTCGGTGAACTCCTATGTTGCCCCAGGAGATGTCTATTCTTTTCCGCCGTTAAACACCAAGTATCCATCACCGTCGGATGATCCCAAAGCAGCTTTGCCTTCAGATACAGTGACAAGTTACTTAGCACCCGCATCTGGAGGTCTGAGCAATGCTGGATATTCTTATCCGGGTCCTTCTTCGGGTTACAAGTATCCAGGGCCACTTGCCAGTAGCAATAGCGATAAGGACACGGCGGCCAGTATGGCGAGTGCCTCCCCAGCAGCAGATGATGATCCCGGCAATGATGATGTAATTGGAGTGCTTCCGGCTAGTGCCATGGACAACATACCGCCAAAGGATCAGGAAGGCAAGGACGCCGGCAGTGCCGGACCGGCTGACGGTATGGATATGGGGTCTCCTGCAAATGGAGGTGATAGTGGCGGAGGTGGGGGAGACGGTGACGATTCTCCTTTACCAGCACTCCACAATGATGGTTCCCATCCCGACGATGATCACAAATACGATCCCAATATGGAATATGCTACACCGCCACCTGGTTGGCTGGAATCTCACCCAGAATCGGCGGCGCCAAAACCGGAAGATCACGATCATGCGCCGGATCATGATCATGTTCACGATCACCACCACGATCACTATTCGGGTCACTATGATTACCAGCCCTCGTATCCGGATGACACCTATCCGGATGTGATATATGACGATCATCCGCATCATCATCATCATGTTCATCACCCACCGCCTCCACCGCCACCTCCGCCGCCACCACCACCGCCACCTCCACCACCAACGGAACCACCACCACCACCTCCGCCGCCACCAGAGCCACGTGTGAAAAAGTACAGTTACTTCTACATTGGCCGGAAACTGTGGTACATCCCTTTGTACTTCACCGTGTGGTTCAGTTTCTACATACTGTGGCTAATCATTAAGTCCATTGGTCGCCACAAGGTAAACCTGCCCAATCACTATGTCTCTCGACGAAGTGCACCCGATCCATTCACCGAACAAGGTCGTGACGAATATATTAACGAGATGACTGTTAGGGTGCTGGAACACATTGATAGCTTTAAGCAAAAATACTTGAACTGATAAGGACGCTACTAAATACTTAATGGATAATAAAAAACTTAATTTAAAAAAAAAACAATTTTTTAAATGAATTTTGTTTTTAAAGAATGAACCGAATCTAATTTGAATTTTGGCAATAAAAATAGAACCAAGGTAAGATAATATCAATGTGTTAAAAGAATATCAAGATACTCCATGACCAAAACTCTTATACAGTTTTCGAAAAATCGTTTAAATCAAGTCAACGTTCACACTGGCAGAAAATATCGATAGCAGAAAAAATCGATTTTCAAGAAAACAAAATATATATCGGTGATTGCCCTTCCGTATTTGTTTATGTTTTTTATCCGCTAACTTAAAATAAAACAGCTGCAGCATGTCGTATATGCTCCCACATTTGCACAATGGCTGGCAGGTGGACCAGGCTATTCTCTCCGAGGAGGACCGCGTGGTTGTGAGTATTCGGAAACGGTTTCACAAATCAATCTCAGTGGATCACCATTAGTAACTATTGGTCCACTTCCAGGTAATACGCTTCGGTCACGATTGGGACCCCGCATGCATGAAAATGGACGAGGTGATGTACAGCATAGCAGAAAAGGTGAAAAACTTTGCAGTCATCTATTTGGTGGACATCACCGAGGTGCCGGACTTCAACAAGATGTACGAGTTGTACGATCCCTGCACTGTGATGTTCTTTTTCCGCAACAAGCACATTATGATTGATTTGGGTACGGGTAACAACAACAAGATCAATTGGCCATTGGAGGACAAGCAGGAGATGATAGACATCGTGGAAACAGTGTACAGAGGTGCTCGCAAAGGCCGTGGTCTGGTTGTCTCACCAAAGGATTACTCCACCAAGTACAGATACTAGAGTGGATCGTCCCTATCATCAAAGATTAGTATGTCCCATTTAGACGTAACAAATTGATAATCCCAAATAGAAGCAACTATAACTTGGCACCTTGTGTATATGTATTTTCTTCTGGTTTATTTTTCACTTGTCACATTTCTCATTAATATCGCTAACATGTACATCAATTTTCTGTTTTTTTCTTCATATATATAACATTTAACTAAGTTTGTTCTTTAATAGCTCATACTTTTTAAAAATTTTAATCCATTCTTTAAAGTAATCTTGCAATAATAATTCTGTTTTGCGCGTTAGTAGTACATATATTTCTTTTAATTTCGAATTGCTTTCGTTTACCAATTTGATCAATTATGCTTTGAGTTTAGCTAGAGGTACATATAGACATCAAGTTAATGAAAATTAATCGGAAGTAAGATCGGTCCAAGAAAGCAGGGATATTAGTACAAAAGTATAAAAGAAAATAACGCAACGAAAGGGGGAGAAAAAAAGAACATTTTTTCAGTAAAAATACTAAGTACTCGTAAACGAAGTTCACAAACTGAATGCTCTACGCATTTATTGGGCTTGGCGTCGATATCCAAACTTTGTCTTCAACATTGTTATTGTTCATTTAATACAACAGCTCAGTTTTATTACAGATTTATTATGCTTAGGTTTAACAATTGGTTCCGCTACTCTTTGACTTACACAAGTTAGGTTTGCTCATTGGTTTCATTAAATATAGGTATGTATATTTATCTACGTTATTAGTTATATGTATGTATATTTTTGCTCATTTTAAACAAATCAACGCTACAATTACAATATTTTCGAATTTTCATTTACTCTTACGTTCTTCAGCATATAACCAACAATTAATTGTTTTCTGTTTTTTTGGGGGGTTTTCTTTTGATATACCATTTTGCATTTCTTAGGCGCCACTCGAGTTGATCTCGTCGTACAAAATACTTACTAGTATTAAAAAATATTCAAACAGGGCTCGATTTATACATGTGTGGTGTATATAAATATATACTTATGCATAGGAAAGGTACAAATCAGGCTCAGGCTGAGGCTCAGGCATGTTAGAAAGTCTCTAGGGGGCTGGGTTACCTCAAAATGCAGCTCTATTATATTATCTTGCGTTTCGTCTACTAATTATGTATTTTTGATTTGAATAACACAAGTCATTTGATTTATGTACCGTTTCGTCTGTTTTCCTTTCCTTGGCTTTAGCTTTTCATAGAAAAATAGAGATGCGTAGGTGGGATGAGTTAGGAAATTGTTTACATAGATGTTCTTTTTTTTTTTGTTTTTCAATTTTTATATTCGCTTGTAACTCTATATTCTGACAACAATTCTATTATATTACCAACAATTCGTGTTCGAATAGGCAGGAGCGGGGAAATGCGAAAATGTTTCTAGAAAGTCTGAAACTTTTGTCTAGCTACGCATAAAAGACATTTAGGCATCTTTGGGTGAACCTTTTGAGGTTCTTAAGGTCTTCTGTCAGAGTACTTCTGTTGCAAGGATAACTCGATTTCGATCGATTCGATTCGATTTAAAGTTTGTTGTGCAATCTATAAAAATTTCTAAATTACAATACTTTAAGTATTTGGCTGCTGTTTAAGACACTAGAAGAGTTTTCGTTCCATAATAGGGAGAATGAGAGATAGATAGATAGAAAGATTGATATCTGCTGGCGGCTGGCGATATATCTATAGAAATATATAAATTTTCTCCTTAGTATGGGGCTGCATACGAACGCATACAAATTGGTTTTATAGATAAAGTGTGAAAAATAAATCCGAGTATCACTACTTAACTTTTAGAGTTCTATTAACAATAATAGACAACAGTCTCTAAGTACGAATACGTTGTTGTTCATGTTGCTGTTCGTTACCCATTTCTCATTACTATCGGTCTATACATGTTTGGTAGGCATGTACTACAGTAACTTCTTATGCCAGACTCAACTAACTTATATTTTGACTAAATGCGCTTAATCTAAAACTCCTTATCTATACCTAAATACTCATCAATACTCGCGTTTCATAGTTCCGGGTCTCGAGCAACCCAGGAAGTCGGTTGCCAGACCATGCAACTACCGAAAGTACAGTGAAAACTCGCCCTAACGTACTCGAATGACTCTTAGCAATTTTCTTTAACAAAAGTTTTTTAAAAACAAAGAACTTATAAGTTTCTGACAAATGGCAAAGGTTTTTACCATCCTCTTTCATTATGCTTAACTTAATGGTAGAGCTTGAAAGTAAATAATAATTCCATAAGCCCTCTATGGGGAGTTTTCACTGTAGATTCCATTACCATGCGTACAAAGTCAGTTGCTAAGCTCTTAAATAGTGGCCCGGCCCATGGAACTGCCTTCGTTGGAGCAGTGGAAACCAGTTGGGCTAGAATAGTGTCTCCTTGGACCATTTCCTGGAAGTACCGGGAAGGCTGGGATCGCGCTTTTCACCGCCCAAGCCTTCAATGCCCCGCTCCAAGTGCGAGTGGTGCAACTCCTGGTCGTCATCCTCTTCGTTGGGCAACCGGATAAGGGGAAGCTCTAGCATGACGGCGGGCGTCGCAGTCGTTGTGGTTGGTGCAGCGGCTCCACTCTCACAGCTCAAGTTAGTTGCACTCCGGGTGATTCCGCTGGTGGGAGCCGGAGTTGGACCCGATCCCTTACGCAGAATAAGTTCTTTTAAGGAGGCGGGCACACAGATGCTCTGCTGCCGGGTGGCTATCACCGAATCGGATACAGACGATGGGCAGGGATCGTGCACCAGCCGGATGGCATTCGTTGGCAGTTGAGCTGGCTGCTGGGTGGCGGAATTATTGTCCATCCGGGTGGTCAGAACGGGAACGGGACTTGGCGTTGATCGACCCATGCTGATCACCGTGTTGAGGCTGCTGTACTGCGTGTGTGTTGCGGATTCAGCACCACCAAGAGCTGCTCCTGAAGCCTCCACCAAGCCCAGCTCTGTGTTCAGCGTGGAGCATGTGTCCTCCTCCGTGGTGGTGGTCGTTGTGGTCGTCGTCGTCGTCTGAGGATCGCTGTACTGCTGTAGGAGTGGTCCACGCCTAGGGGGACTCTGACTCACCACTGCTCCAAAGTGAGTTTCCAGCGGTGGCGCCTCCGATTGAATGGGCAAGCCCATGTGGAACTGTTGAAGCTGCAGAGGCTGATTGATGAGAGCCACCCGATCACTGGAGGTGACGCTAATGGTACGATGCCTTTGCAGTAGAGGTCTCCTTGGCCGGGCACCACCGCCACCAGTCAAGGCTGCACTTGTCAATCCCCCAGAGGGCACCGCACTCAGACTCATTCGCTTGACGGGCATGGAAAGCAGCAGAGGACTAGGCTTTGTCTCCCCACTAGCCCGGATTGAAGCTGCCTGGGCTTGGGCCTGGGCGGCCGCCTCCTGCTCCTCGCTGTCGCTGCTTAGCTGCTGCATGTCATCGTCCGTATCCGCCGGACTCTCCAGACCGAAAACCGAGTCTTCGTCTAAGGAACGCAACTCGGAGTCGGGACACTCCAGTGAGGAGATCTTGAAGGAACTTAGTGAAGCTAGCGGAGCTCGCTTCTCTGGATTGTTGTTGCCCATAGCCGGAAGTTTGTTGGACACGGATATTGTGGCCAAGCTGGCGCTTCCACCGCTACCTGCGCCATTTAACCGTTCCAGACTCACTGGGGTACTGTCGACGCTGATGCTACTTGAGCTGGCTGCCGTTCCACCCACTCCGGCCGGAACTGCTGCATTGGGCGTATATGGAAAGCTGTTGTTGTTGCTCTCGTTTCGCTGCAGCTCCACAAGCGTAAGTTTTCGTCGGACTCCTAGACGCAGTTCCTCGGAGGGCGAGTCGCAAAAGTGGAACGCCTGATGGACACTAGTTGGCGGGGCCGACTGCACCGGTTTGGGAAGAGGCAGTGCCAATGCCAGATCCATGGAGCTCTCCTGGTTGTAAGGATACACATCCACGGTGTCCGCGCTGATCGAATGGATCTGCTGCTTCCTACCTGCCTGCGCACTGTCTGGATCATAGGAAACGATACTGTGCTTTCGCTTGATATTGGACGCACTAAGGTTGGATGTCCTCGAGCCGTTTCCTGATCCCGTTCCGGATCCATCGTGTACACTGCGCTCCGAAGGACAGGGAGATGCCTTAGGCGTCGGCTGGATAACCTGGATGTCTGGATAGTAGTAGTCCCAGTTTTCGATGCTCGATGTCCGCGAGGCAGTCGATAGTTTCCTTTGCAGCGTGGGCGGCAGGTTGCCCATACAACCGCCCATGTAGGCGGATGTTCGCCGCTCCAGGTAAGAGCTATCCGTGCTGCAACAGGTCATAGCACTGCTCCGACGTGAGTCTTGACCCTGTTGTGTTATAAGATGAAGTCATTACAAGATGTTTTCATTCTGGATAGGATGAACCCCTCCACTTTCACTCACCGCCATCGGTACAGACAGAAATCCGGGTTTACTGCGCGTAGAGTCCGTCCTTTGGTGCTGATGATCCGACTCATCTGGGACGCCTGGCTGCATATATTCCTCTGCCTCCAGTTCATCCTCCGTCTCCACAAAATAGTCGTCTGTTCCGAAACTACCGCCCATGGGGTAGTTGCTGAAAATCCGCGACGACTCAGAACCACTCTTGCGACGCCCAACATGGCCGGAACCAGGTCCCCCACCAGACATCGAAGAATAGGAAAAGCGACGCGGAGGTTCAAGTAGGTAACTATAGCCCACAGGAACGCCCTACACCAACGCCACCTGAAAGTACATTTGAAGGATTAGTCCCTCTACCTTATTTGAGTAAGTTTAGCTTCCTTGGGAGGACTTACCCATAGAGCCACAGCGATAGCCGCGATTCAGCAGTGGAGGAGCACTCACATTACCCAGCGAGAGCATTCGCTGCCTTCGGTAGACCATCGCATCATATTCATCCGGATAAATAGACATCCCCGTCGCTACAATGGCATCGTGGATCTCTCGCTCCTCTTCCTCCTGCATGCAAACAGCTGCCACTGCAGCCATTTTGGGATCCTTTAGAACCTTCAATGTCTCGTTGCTGCTGCTTCGACTTTTCCAAACGATCAAGAAAACCATAAGGCCAAAAAAACCGCCCAATGTGGCGGCGATCCTAACGCCGGTCATAACGTCATAGGTGGCAAAGAACTCCTCTCGAATCCTGGCCCGCTCCGCTGCATTTTCCGCGTCCGTCAGATTCCGCTCTCCCGGCGGTAGAAGCGGCATATAGGGCGTAGCCGTAACGTGGGCGTGGGCGGGTGCTGTGGGCGTGGCAGTGTTGCTGTGGTAGCTGTTGTTAATATTGTTATTGCCGCTGCTGTGGTTGGATAACGCCGCCGGTGTCGGTGATGGCGGTGGATTCTCATGTAGGACATCAGGACTCGTATCAATGAGAGCCGCTGCTTGGGGTCTGTTGCTGTTGCTGGCGGCACGGCGGGCAATGCGTTGCTGTTGTTGATGTTGCAGCAGTTGCTGTTGCTGATGCTGCTGCAGAGACTTCTCCTGATTCTGTTGAATTTGCTCCTCTTGTTGCTGCGTTGTGCCTGTGGCATGACTTGGATTGACGGATGTTACTCCGGTACTTGCAGTAGTTGCTGTTGTTGCTGTGGTGGGCGTTGCTGCAGACGACGAGGCACGTCGTGAAAGTTTGGCCATCTCTATTCAAACATTTTCTGCAAGAAAAATTAATCAGAAAATGAAATAATTGATTAAATGGTTTAAGGCAATTGAAATTTGAAATTAAAATAGAGGCGCAATTAATAAGTTTTATCTTTTCTCAGAATATTACGACTTGTTCTTATTCTTGTAAACATATATATAAGTGGCTCTTGGGCTCAATAAAGCTCAGTAATAAGTGTACTTGTAAATGTAACTAATTGATAAACTTACTGATAAAACTTAAGTCCTTTGACTTTAATCTGGAAATGCTATCTTATCGCCCTTATCACCCTTGTATTTAGCTGTTCCAAAGGTACTATAAAAGATGCGGATTTAACAATATTTTTTATAGTCTTGTCAAAATGCTTGTACAGTTTACTGGAATTTGTGTTTTCTTGGGAATTCTTTCCCTAACTGCGGCCTACGATATTAGTGTGAATATTGTTAATGGTAGGATTGCACCTTAATTTTAAATTTGTTTAATTTTTTATTATATTCTTTTTGTATCTCCTGTAGAACTTCCTGAATTCTTGAAAATAAGCACAGCTCCGTTCGTGAAGATTGGATCAAATTATTATTTCATTGACAGTAAGCAGGTTAATTGGTACACTGCCTACGAATCATGTCGACGAATGAACGCGGATTTAGTAGCATTTGAAAACTTAGAGGAATTGAATCTGGTAGCTAAATACATTACTGATAAGTATACGACTAATATAAAGACATATTGGACCTCTGGCACTGACTTGGCTGAGCAGGATGTACATGTTTGGTTTTCGAATGGACAAACTGTAAAATCGGATTTGTGGCGAAAGGGAGAGCCAAATAATTTAAATAACAATGAGCATTGCGATGAATTAAATTTGGAAGGCATTGGACTGAACGATCGGATCTGCAGTTTTACGAGTCGCTATATTTGCAAGGCCTCCCAGCCAAAGACAGCTTCTTTTATTGTCTGGTAGATTGTTCATTACATTACTCTATATCAAATAAATAAATAATCAAACAATATTTGAAAAAACTCTGAATCCTTCTTAAACAATTCCTTTGTCTTAACATCAATACATCACTGGTTTATTCTCTCCGCGTGCATACCGCATCACCGCTTATTTGGCGAACAGCAAACTCCGTCAGTTTTATGCTCCTTCACTGGACTTGGCTAACTGCCCATGAAAGTGTTAGTCACGAACAAATTGGCCATACAATATCGACGTGACTGCCATTCAGGCCAGCTGTGAGCTGCTGTTTCGAATGGTCCAATGAAATTAACGGATATCCACTTGTGGCGGAAGTGTGGGATCTAAATAGCTGCATAAAATGTATGGTATGACTTTAAAAATAAAGTGTGGAACATTTTGGGCTCTTGAGATCGAATTAAACTGAGATGATAAAACTTCTGTACTTTATTTCCTTCTACTTCATGTTCCCTTGTTATAACACAGAAATTGATTGGGAAAATTTCACTGATTGATGACGGGAAATTGAACATTGAAAATGCAACAAAATAAATGGCAATCAAAGCATGCTCAACGTTTTATTGATTTCCAAGGACATACTCGGATTTCTCTCTACCGCGCTTCAACACCTTTTTTCGTTCCTTCTAGGAATTTTATTCCCTCCTCCCTACACTCCCTTAACCCATTAAAAAGCCATAAACCCATCCACATTTCTTGGCGCATTCTTCGGCAGTGCCTCAAACTTTTTAATTGTTTTCAGCGCTTTAGCTCGTTTTCCAGCTACAGCTACCCCTTCTCTAGGCAACATTCTCGTGGGGGAATAACTTGGTAAATTTTTAACATTTTGTTGAAATGAGTAAATTAAGGTAACAACCACACCTACACATACATAGACAATGACACAGTAACAACACAGTGGGTATAAATTATATTGTCCGAGAAATTGCCTTCGCCCGCAGCATCTCCTTTTGGCGGTATCCTTGGATTTTCAACAAGTTGCACGCTCAATAATTCAGAAGGACACTGTAGCCTGTTGCCGTTGTGTGTGGCCATTGGCCATTGTCCATTGTCATTGGCAGCTAGTTGGTCAGCTCATGCTACTGCTCCTGCTCTCAGGTTTCCCCCCGCCCCCGCTGAAGCCACCATCTAATTGTTCGTTTTTGTATTGACAGTCGCGCAATTGCGGAGCTTCGCTCTGCTGAATTTTTCTATCTGAGTTGTTCTTTCCTTTCCTCGGGTTTTTTATATTTTTGTTTTACATAACTGTATGTGTGTGTGTGTGTGTGTCCTGCCAAGGCTTTGTCCTGCCAAGGACAGCGGCAGTCAGTCAGGGAGCGACATGATTATTGCAAAAGTTTTGGTCTAACACTCGTATTCCACCTCAAGCTTCTACCTTGGCTTATTTCGGTTTTCCATTTTCCATTGCCCATTTTTCCATTTCCCTTGCTTTTTTTTTTCTTCTCTCCACGAACTTGTCGGGCAAACAAGAAACTTTTAATGGCTATTATACATTGGCCATAATTCGTGTCCAACTTCCGTGCAAATAATGAGGAAAAAAATGTAAAACACAATTTGCAGTCTAAGCAGTTTGGAGTGATTTTTAATGGCCCCCCAGTTGGCGGATTCTTTTGCCGGGCAATTATATTTGAATTCCACTAATGGCTGTGAAATTTGTCTCGTCTACTTTTCCACACTGAACTTCTTAGAATGCAAAATGAAAAGTTTCCTTAATAAGACGCTTTAATGTGGACTTATGGCAATGAAGTTAGGTATCTTTTCAATTTGGTATTATAGTGATAGCAGGCTTATGGCAACGATAAGGTGATAAGGGGCTTATTATATATCAGGAAGATTATATCTCAGGAAGTTAAGATAGTTTACTTAACAAATATATTTTTCAAAATACATCTCAATGCACGTACACCAACAAAACAGAAATTCTCTCAGGAGGATAATACTTTTCCTGGTTGAGGAAACAAAGTTATTGAATACTTGTAATAAGTTGCAGCTTCCGTTTGCCATACAATGGAACTTGAACAAATGCTGCCAGCTCACCAATTTCTGCTACCCCAAAAGAAGACAAACTCCCGTTGTTGAAACTCCCGTTGAGTTCTATTGATGGATTAGCACATTTGGGGATTGGGTTTGCTTCTTGCTAGGCAAGGATAATTGCCTTTGGCTCAGTTCAAATACTTGCGGGGGTGTCTCTATGTGTGTGTGTGGGCCAAAAAAAGGGCAAACAATATACGTAGAATACATTAACAATGTCCGCTCGATGAACGTGTGTATCAACGCCATATCGATGTCAAAGCGGGCGATGTTTTCGAGGGTGGTATAGGTTTCGGGGATTGGATGGAAAATGAGCGGAAAATGTGGGGGGCTCAAGCTAACCAAACAACAACAATCGCTACAACAAGAACAATGTGTTGCTTGTTGCGCCTTGTTGTTGCACCATGATGAATGATTGTGGTTTTGCCAGCGGACAAATGGACAAATGGACAGCGAGCAACGGACGACGGACAACGGACAAACATGCTGACAGGCGGCCTCGACTTGGATTTGATTGTACACGGTGCGTATGCGTAATGCGTGAAAGGAGTGGAAATAATAATTCATCATGCCCGGGGCAAGTCTGCTCAATATACATATGTACATGTTGTATATAAAAATATATCTGCCTTATTTTGGGACTATCGTATTTTTACTTTAGCAAATGAAATTGACGGCAAATCAATTGAAATTTCGGATAAATATATAAGCTCATACAAGAATGCCTTTGTCAGATTTTGGGGCACCTCGAATTGACTTTGCCTCCAGCCAACCGACAATGAAATCATTCATGTGCATTGAGGCGTTCGCCACAAATACAGAATCAATGATTTCCAGAGAGACAGTTAAATAAGTTTAGTTTAAAAGGATTTCAATTTGATCTAGCAAAGTGGCACCTATCTGGCAATCTTAAATCAAATTATCTTGATTATAATTTCAAGAATCTTTAGTATTTATTTATTTATATACAAACTCAAAGTAAGAATTTCCTTTTAAGTAAATGCCGCTAAACGATAAATAAAAAGAGCATTTTAGGTTCCAGTTCGATTGCTGACTTACTAATGAAATTGTTTGCAATCCATTGATTTTTTAATACCCAATGAGTCCCTACTTAAATATCCATCATTGTCATCACGCACACACAAACACACTCTCTTGAGCAACTTAAGAGCACATTCACGCTTACATATATACAAAAAAGACCACATATAGCAACCTAAGCGGCTTAAAGAAGCATTAGGCAAATGAAAATACTCAACGGCAAAAATTTGTGTCCTTTTTTCGATTCGATTTGCTGTCCTTATACTTGGCCTCCATTTGGTTTTCTTCTTCTTTTTTTTTAATTAGCTAAAATGTCGACAAAGCTGTGGAATTGAATATTTTAGAAGCTTAACGGAGAGAGGAGGCTTTAAAATAGTGAAAGGAAGAATAGAAAGTGGTTTTCAGCGAGTCTGCCTGCCTTATTAGTGTCTGCTTTGTCTTTTCCAAAAGGCAGCGCACAATGCCATACAGACAGCCCAAATTATGAGAATTACGGCATTCCACAGCCGCGCCTGCTGAAAGTCCTGCCCGCCGCCACCTCTTATCTCTATCTCCAAGTAGTCCTGTTTTCCCGTACTCCCCCCTGCCCCTTCTCAAAAACACAGCCGTGCGCCATTTAACAAACATTCCGTTAATCTGCTACACTTGCCAGCGCCATGGCCACGAGCCTGCCTCTCACATCCGCTTCTTTATCCTGATCCTGCCCCTGTGTTCGTGTCTCCCTTGGCTCTGGCAGCTTGGCTATTTAACCGACAAAATATTAGAATTATTTAAACAAATTTAGTTAGGGAGATTACATAAAAATACTAGTCAAGTAGTTCAACATTTAGGTTTAAGGAAATTAAACATTTTGAGTTAGCTTACTTTACTTAAAGGAAAAGCCTACTTACAATATTAAAGACTAACTTAACTCACTTTTAAATTATAAAGCAATATTAATAAAGACGTTTTGTTATAATTACTTTAAA